ATACTAATTAAGAAGATCCAAAATCGTCAGAAAACTTAGCTATTGGAACATTAAATGAAGCAAGCTAGCTTCATTTGGCACAAGTTACTGAGTTACTGCTGCTCTCATCATTTACATTCATATGGGCTACATAACATTGTACGTTGCATGTCATTATGATTTTTGACTCCTTGTCCTTCTAGGATGTAGGAAATACAGGAACCTGAAGAAAGAAAGCTCTGTAATTTATTGCTCAAGATAGATATAATTTAGTTTTTGATGCAGATATGCTTATCATGGCTGTGCTAGTTAGTGTTTCATTCTAAGAGAGGGCAAATCTCATTATAAGGCCTGTTTCTCCAAGGGGAAATATTGCTTGTACAGTTGTGTTCATTGTTGATAGCATACAGAGTAATTGTGCTCCAAAGCTACCGATGATGTCTGAGCTTGCCTCTTGTCACAATGGCACTGATAACAGCCATGAGCAGTGATAAGCAGTCAAGCCTGTAGAGACCTAGAAGGTCAGAAATCAATTGCTTCCAACCGATTGATTTAGGACTGAGAGATCCTGATGGTTGGTATAGCAGCTGTAAATTGAGGTAATTATTCCACTTACAGATAATATACTGTGAATGTCTTGTGAGTCCGATTTTCATCTAACTGAAAACCACGTGTACAGGACCATGGTTAATTTTTCTTTCCCTTTGTTAAGAATATTGATACTAGAGATAATACTGCATAACGTTAATACTTCTTAGCAGTTACTGTTTCCCGTTTGACTCTTCCCATGTCTAGTTATATTTCACATAGCTTGTGCAGCTTCTTTACAATAGAAGAATTTACATAATATTAAATCTTTTTAAGACTGGGCAAGAAGAAAACAGGAGAGCTTTTATATAAGGCCTGGTAATTTCTTTGCAGTACAATAAAGTATTCTACTTCCAGAAAATGTCCATCTTGTCCCATTTTTGAAATAATCTCTTGATGCTGACAGAATTCATTGCCGCCCTCTGGCCTGACTTAAAAGAATATATTGACAAGTTTGCTGCAAAGTCACTGTGCTATCATCTGGAAACTTTCCTGTTCAAGATTATTTTCCGGATACAGTCTAGCATGGAAGCTCTGCAGATCCCTTTAATGCTTTTTCCAGCTTTCTTCCTCCCTACATCTTCTCCCTGTCTCAACTACTTGTAAAGCCACTCCCTTGCTGATTAGTTTCTGTGGCTTCAACAGCCTTTAGTGGCCACCAAGATGTTCTGATCTTTTTGTTATCTTTTACAGAGTCCTCTCCACAACACCTAGAATTGCTCACAGAGCATGAGGGACTTTCTTAGATAATATTCTGTAGGTTTCTATGGTACTTCCACTCAGTTTCCCACAGCAACCATACAGAACAGGAGACATTTTAAGATGTACCATCATCAATTATAAATCCTTCTCACAAGATTCAGATAACATTGTTTTTTCACATGGTCATGTCCCGCTAAGACAGATGCACCATTTGGTATCAGTTTTCTGAAGTTCAGCCTTGTGAATATTGCCTCGTGGCATGGCAACATCTGAGTCAAAGAAGGAGCTTATAGTCATCGTTCTGGTAACAAGAAATGCAAAAAAATATTAAAATCTGGAAACATTTGGATTTTGAAAGTGTTAGCTTAAACCAGTCTCTTAAATCATGCAGTCGGTTTGGTACCTTCCTCAAATGTCTAGGTAAGGCAGTGTCCAGCTGCCTTCCCAAGCAGCTGGACCAGTTGGATTAAGCACATTATGTACAATTCTGTGCAGAAACAATGCAGAACTGTTGACTGTTGTCAGTATTCGCAGTCATTTAAGGTGAATTCATCTTACAACTTAGGTCCTGAAGCTGAAGTCAGTGAAAAATTCTGATCACCTTAACTGAAGCTTATCTATCACGCACAGCTTAGTCCTCAGCAGTTAAATCCTGTTTGGGTTGTACTTTTTTGCTTTGGCCTTATATACCATCTGTTAGCTTGAAATTATAATGTAGCAAAAGTTTATATCTATTTTCAGTGGATTTTGCTTTAAGTTTTTGAACGGATTATCTTTCTTAGACATATGAAAATTCTTGTTAGTTTATTCTATTAATGTCCAAAATCCTTGGTTTTATTTTCTTCCTATGTTGTTTTTGTTTGGGTTTTTTTTTGTCAACACGGTATGTTGATGCCTAAACTTTCACTAAATATATTTTCACTTGAACATTTCATCCAAGAATTACAGGGCAAAAAAGGATCTTCTATCATAGTTGTCAACATAAGGCAGTTAATATTTGTTTTCCTTCCATCATTTTATTGCTCATCTTACTTGAAGAACAGCTTCTCTCTTCAGAGGCTGGTACTTTTACTTGTCATTTACATAGGCAATGTTTTTGGGATCTGTTCTCATCAGAAGTACTTCCTAATGGCCTCTGTTTCTTCCAGGGCCACTACTGTCAAATACCACACCTCACTCATGTCATAAGGCTTCTTCTAAACTTTTTAGGTAAATATAAACATATGGGTGAGGTAACTAACAACATCAGCAGCAGCATTCAGGCTTTTTCTTGATCTTTTATCTCTTCAGCTATTTCAGAATTTAGACCATCCTGGCTGAAGAGACAAGTATATGAAATACCAGGACAAGAACTCACTCTGTAACAGGGAAAAGAAACACTTACTGCGGATTTATTGCTCCACACACCTAAGAGATGAAGTTGGCATTCCATAGGTTTAACTTATTCCTTAAAGTACCACTGAACACTTATCTCTGCAGCAAAAAATTCTCTGATTTTGTTAATACTTTGGTCCCACACCTAGTAAAGAAGCTGAAAAGATCCAGAAGTTTAATATCAAAGCTCAAACCTGCTGATATCAAACAAACACAGCCTTTCTTAGCTGTGCCCATTTTAATCTGCTTTTGAAGACCTCTCCTGAAGAATTACCATCTTCTGTAGAAGACAGATTTTGCTTAGCAGCAGAGGCAGACTTTAGTGTAAGGATTTATCTTACTACATCTAGAATTTCACAGCATAACTCTATGTTTCTTTCATATTTAGTCAGGAGAAATGGACTGTGGTTGAAATATCTCACCCTACAGGACCATGTCAGATGGATCATTTCCTAAAAGTGTGTATTTCTCTACTGATTGCAAGGTGACTACCTAGATGTGAAAGTTTTTATTCCAGATGCATATATTTAAATGAATACTCGTCCAAGTGGATTTCTCTGTTTGGTTGGAGAAATCTTTTGATGTTCCTACAAATATTTGGAGTAGAAGTACTGAATAAAAAATTACCTTGACTCCTTGATCATTCTGTCCCACAAAAAAAATTTCTTGATTACAGGTCCTTACCATTTTTTATCTCTGTTAATTAAGTTAAAAGAAGGTAATGAAGTTAAAAGATTTGAAAGAGTGTTCTCCAGAAAAATAGTGAGCAAAATCCCCTCCAATTTCAAGTGTATCATATTCCAATTTGGTTTGCATATTTATAAGGTTAATTTCACTAACTAATAGCCAGCAACATTTTGTTTTCATCTTGATTCAAGCAAACAATTCTTCATCAAGTCTACATGTAGTGGAATTATTTTGCCAAAGATGTAGCTGTTCAACAATAATGTGTGTTATAAGATACACACATGCCTGTAAGAGCCCAGTTTTTGCCTTTGGTGTCTGCCCCTGGAGACTGTCATGCTTTTGGAGTAATTGACTCGTGTTTTCTTGCTGAGTTTCAGTTACTCAAATCCTTCAACCTGTTTAAATCAATGAAGCAAAGCCCTCATGAAACAAAGTAATTTCTGAAATCTAGCCTAAAAGCTCATGTTCATGTAGCCCATTCCAATTAGTTTCATCTATCTACCCCAGGAATCCTTTCTTCCCCTCTACTGTCTTCACCAGTATTCAAAACCCCACAATTCATTTTCTTTTAGCTCCTGTAAGTCAGGATGAAACACCTCTGTGCAGCATTCTTCTTCTCAGCACATAACTATGCCTCATTAGAGTTTTGTGCAGTCATATCAGCCAGGTATTTCCAAGTATTTTACATAGAAGTATAATTTTCTAAAGTCGGGGTTTACAAATAGCCAAATCCAATTCATGTGATGGTTTTGCCCTTTAATGCAGGCAATTGTTACTCACAGTTGGATGTGCTCTCTCTCCTTCACTTTTGATATCCCAAGTTGCTGGTCCAGTCCAGATTCTGCTGCAGCTACAGGGCTTTCACCGAGCCTGGGACAGGCTCCCTGGCTTTTCCACTTCTACTTGTGTGTCTATACTTGAAGGCCAAGGTTTATATGTTCAAAAAAATGAGATTTTTTTTTCCCTATCATTTCTTTAAAGGAAAGGGTCTCATGTTGCATATGTACCCACATTAGATCTTCGAGGGCTCAAGAGGAGTCACTGAGAAACTGAGAAGTAGTTAGTCTTCTTTCTCATCATTGTTATGGTGTTTCGACTGGATTTGTTTCATGGAATGACTCTTACATAGTAGTCTCTATAACTTTTTTTTTTTTTTTTTTTTTTTTTTTTTTTTTTTTTTTTTTTTTTTTAAATATTTGAGAGGCAGTGGAGTAGTTGAAGAGATTTCCAGGCCTTCATCCATCCAGGGATTCTGGTCATAAGAACATGTAGGATGGACACAATTTCTTGCATGCTGTTTGAACCACAAGCAATATTTCTTGAAAGGCAGATGGCCTGATGGCTGAAAGGTTAAAAGCTTTGTTAAACATGTGTGTGCATTGCCATTGATTGTGGATTTGATGATATTTAATTGTACTCTGAAAGGAAACCACTGATGTAGGGCCTTCTCCTTGTCATTCTTACTCAATCCCAGTGTGAAACAACTTTACAGACTGTCAATTTATTAATTGACCACAGAATGTGGGTCAAAAGACTGAAGTACATGGATGACAACTACTGTGGTTTCTTAAATCTGGGTACGTGGAAGTTCACTGCATCTTCATTTCATCTTTCTCTGTGGTGAGAGGACTAACAAAAAAACAGGATTGAGTTGACACAGCACATCTAGCTTAGCTGAAAAAAGTCTTCTCAAGTTGTTATTGTTAATATGCTGACCTTCAGAGTTTGTTTCAGGAGCTCATTTCACTTGGCAGACTTAGGCATGTGTGGAAAAGGTGTAACTATTCTGAAAAGCAAGGAAAGAAATAATAAAAATAGCATCAGTGAGATGATAGGCAAAACTTATATCACCATTAAGATGATGCAAATTGCACAAGGTTTTTAATACTTGTAGGGCTGCTTAATTTTTTGCTGTTCTGGCTTTTTTTGCCTAAAATTAAAAGAAATAGTTTTCCTTGCTTCCATAGTTGTACTTTGATTTGTAAAATTTGTATTTAATTTTAAAGGTAAGATACAGAAGAAGTAGATCTCAACAATGATAACACAAATGATAAGTGATGGTACAACAACATGCATATGTGATTCAATTAATAATAGATTAGTATATACACAAAACATTTTTATTGACAATAATATATAACCATTAAGATTATTCTTTCCACATATTTTTGTAGTCTAAAAAACGTATGTAATATATTTATGATATTTAGAGAATTAATGTAGTAGCACAATCCTAGAAGTCACTGGTACAACTAGTATTTCATAAAAGTCATACAAGATCACAAACACACCGAGTGTGTTACTTCTGTTGACCTAGAAATGCAGACCATAAGCACAAGGATGTAAATGTTTTAAAGCTGGCAAAACAGAAATCACATCCTTCTGCAAGCAAAGCTGCTGCCGTGAAAACATGTTCTGATTGTTACTGCTTTTGAATTAAATTCCTGTTCTTGAATACTTAGAATGATTCCTGAAAATTCAGAGTCACATGAAGACCAATGTCTTGATTAAAAACTTGTACAAAAGTGTAGAAAGCTTGCAGTCCCTTTTAAAAATGGATGCTTTTTCTTCCATTTCTTAAGGTCCTGTGGTTTTGTGGAGTCACCATGTACATTAGCACATTTGCCTGCACATCCTGAGCATTATGCATGCTAATACCTCGAGTAAAGTGAGGAATCTGTTCAATTGTTACTCAGACAACTTGGAAAATGGGGACTTTTGCCTCAATATTGTGAGGCAAAAACAAGTTTTGAAAATGCTTCCTACTTGAGCCTAGGACACAAGGAGATTCTGCAAAATCAAGAGCATCTTTGAGGACTTACAAAGACACTTGAAAAGATAACACAGCTGGCTCAACTGGGTGCAGTCGGCAAGGGCAGGGAAGAGCAGAGACCATTAGCCCCAGAGTGATAATTGTTAATCTTTAGAATGGTCTCCCGTGAGAACATTGCTGGATACACCAACACCTGGTACATCTAAAGTCATATTAAATTAAGCAATATAAACCCTGCTGTAAAGCATAGACTTTCACTGGCATGTTAATATTCTAACCTTTTATCCTAGCGCTGCCCAATATCATCTTCTAATTACCAAACCTGTGATCTAACACTTCCTTTTCAAGTCATTTTTATGCTTGTGTAAATACAGGGTTGAGTCAAAAATTGTTTGCCATTATGCTAAATGAGAATTTTTTAGAATTTTTCTTGCATTTAAAAATAATACTGCCTTTCTGGAATAGTGAGGGAGGGAAATGAAGAAGCAGTTCGTCTCTCAGTGAAGTTCACTCCCTCTTTAGTGCCACTTCTTGTGTGTCTTCCCTTTGTAGAAGGGGAATCTTATCTCACAGAACATCCCTTAGCTTATTTATATAGTGTACATTGGCCTAGATGATTTTAGACACTGTAAAAGTGGATATTCTTAACTGCAAAATTGCTCAATGGGTTTCAACAGACATTTAATTGACCATTTGATTTTTAAGCTCAATTTCAGTTTGAGAAGGACAATCATTTTGAGGTTTTTCATGCTTTTTGACTGGAGAGTGTGACAGCATTGAGAAATGTAAAGTAATAACGGAATAAAATAGTATTTTGAACCCTGATTGAAGGAAAACAAAGCAAATAATAGGAGTACTATGCCAAATGCAAACACAGGAATAATGCTGGAATGTTCTTAATAGGCCTGGTGCACTGGAATAAGTCAGATTGTGCTGAGCATTCAAAACTATATTTCTCGACAGTGTCAGTATCTCTTTGTCTGGCAATAATGGTGATAAAAACTGTGCTGTCACCAAAAATACATTAAGACAAAAGGCCTGACTCAACAACGAGTTACCCTGCTTTTGTGTCATGGTAACCCCTCTGAAAACAAGCTAAAGCAAAAAGATGTAACTGGGGAAACAAAGGTGTTAATACAGTTCATTTCAAAGCAAAGATTTCCACTTGCCAGTTTTGCTTACTAAAAACATCTTACTTGGTTGAAACAGAACACAAAACAATGTCCCATAGCATTCTGCACAATCTTATAAATATCACAGCAAACTACAGGAATTATATCCCACTTATCTATGTTTTTATGGACATTGTCATCAAGAACTACCAATATTTACAATCTTCAAAATATTTTTCTTAGCATACAAAGCAAAAGAATCTATACTGTAATTTGAGAGACATTCCATGTGAAGGCAAGCAATCACGGCAGAAGAGATTTTACTCTTGCTTCAATATTGAGCTAATTTTTGAAGAAAAGTTTTATCTGAAAATAGGAGCAAGTATCACTGTTCGATTGCTGAAAGAAGAGGTTGGCTATATGCAATTTAAATCCCCCTAGAAAGAGTGAATATAAATAACAAATACATGTCTTGGAGTAATCGTACACTTTGTAAATCATTCATTTTGTCACCTGAAAGACCCTTTTTATGTGTTACCTTGTACTGGAGGAGAGATCCAGGATCACAATGAGGTTTGGAAAAAATTTGCAGAAGTTTTAGCCATTTAATTCTATTTTCTGTGAGGGTGAAGAAATACTGTAGAAATTATCCCCTATAACAGAGGGCATTTACTTAAGGCATTGAATTCCAGGCACTCCCAAGGGTTCACCCGTGTAACTTTTAGTCTTGGTGTTGAGTAGTGGGTAACCAGTGCAACACCAGTGGGCCCATGGGATAGCCTGTCAGAAAGAGTCTCCAGAATAATAAGCATGCCCTAGCTGAATCCAGAGGTTCAAAGGTCCTAGTTCCCAAATTCAGAGTGATCATCAAGGCACACAAATGAAATGCCTAGTAATTTCCCAAGAAAGTTCAGCTAAGTTCAGAGCCAGGTCCCAAACCAAGAACTAACTGGATCACTGTGTTCAGATGAACAAACTGTTTTGTTGGATGTCTTTTGCTTGGGTGGTTGGTTTTACTTTAATTTTACCCCTTTTTGCAAATAAAATATTTACTAAAAGCATCATTTTTCCCATGCATGAAGTTATTTCCAAAGAAAAGTATTCCTGCTACTAGTCTCAGAAGACTATAGAGAGAGGTGTGGATTGCAGCATAGGAAGCCAGAGGAAAAATGTCCCTAATTGTGTGCTATTGAGGGAATTGTGATGGCTTTGCAACTAATGAGAAATTTCTCAGCACCTCTTGAAGGATCAGAATTGAACCTTGATCAGACAGGACCAGTGTGAAACCAATGATATTCTCCTGCAAATTTCTGGGGAATGATGGACTCTATTTCTAAATTTTCTTAACTTCTTCTTATAGAATTCACCTAAACTATGAGAAACTAACACTATCTCCAAATGGATTGCTATTTTTTTTCTCCATCCCTGTACTTCATTTGCTTTCAATACTTAGAAAAAATTTGGGACAATTTAAATTTCATTTAGCAAATTGATTTTCTAATGGCAAATTCCTATGCTTTGTGAGTACATAAGAATAAACATTCTTATTATTCTGTGAAGACCAGACTTTGTAACAGTAAAAAATAGAAGTTCTTGTAAGTGTTGATCAGATTTCTATCTTAGGAGAGCAAACTCATGGAAATTTTTATAACTATATGAAATACTGCTTGCTTGTGCATGCTGTGATTCTCTTTCCTGGATCAGAAATTTAGAGTTTCAACTCACAGGCTGTGAGCTTGCCTCCTACACGAAGTTGACATCACAGTTAATTAAAAGAAAGTCACTGTACTACTGGCATTCTTCAGATGAGGCATTAGTGTAGCACATTCTGGAGAGCATACAACTCCTACAAATTATACCACAAATTGCTTGGCACAGACACAAGCTCTCATCATTTAGGGAAAGTGGAAGAATACTGTTGGGATTCCTATGTAGCGTAAAAACAACAAAACCCCTCCAATTATTCCATCTTAAGGGATGAAAAGCTCAAAAACTACATTAGTAGGTACCTGATGGTGAGGTGTAAACTGCTTAAGATTGCACCAGAAAATGCTAAGAGACAGTAGCTGCCGCTAATTCCTCAACAGAAATAGGAAGTCCTTATGCTCCTCTCATATCTTTATTCTTTTGTAACATGGTATGTTCATTCATTTATTTCCCAGTATGAGGCTGAGCATATTCACATTTATTCCATTATTCAGTATTTCTAGGCATTTTGCTTAACAATGGTAACAAAGGAGTGAATAATACTTACTGTCTCTTCTCAGCCAAGTATTCACAGTCCAAATTCATTTACTTTTGCAGCTGTCTGCATTCCTGTTGGTTGATGAACCCTTGATCTTTGTCATTTCTTGTTTTAGATCAGGACTTCCTGGTAAAACTGATGTCTGTGACAAGCCTTCTTGACTCTGATTCCCAGAAAATGCAGAGAATAGACACCTCAGTGACTATGACTCACTTGGAAGTTACTGCAGGTCCCAGCTCAGAAGCTCTCCTCTGTTGGCTTGACTCATCAGCAGTGTAAAACAACCTATGATCTCTGAACAATGCTCATTACCGCCAAACTGAAAAGAAGAAACAAAAGAAAATGAAGCTCACTTCTGTTTATGACCGTGTTTGCACTGCAATACTTAGAGGTATCATTCCTCTGCCATACTTAGTCGTTTTGTCTTTTTCAAAGTCATCTTCTACTCTGATCTGGATAGAGATTCGAATTTCTAAAGAGAAGAAATCTACTTTTTTAGTTGGTTTTGGGGCAAAAAATTAATAAAACAGTTCATTAAATAAGTTGGTTTGGTTTCCTGGATATGTTTCATGTCCTATCTAACATGCAGAGAAAGATTTGATTGCCAAAGCACAAAATATTTTGGTTTTGCTCCCTGTTTCTCCTAGTCAATAATTCTGTTAACATGTAAGGTGTGGCATATCTGTAATCATAGGAGCGGATAATAGGTGCATAGGAACAAATCACATGTGTATAAACATGCAGCTTTTTTTTCAGTGGGGTAGTAAAGGATAACTGGTACTTCTCAATTACAGATTAGATGAGACTGATTAGGAACATCTATAACTCACATGCATGCTCTGTGGTACATCCATTTAGGGCAACAGTAGATCCCTTGGGTCATCTCTTAGTCAGAAACTGCAGGCACACTTCCCCACTCTTCTGCCAACATGTGCATTACAGACACTGGACGGCACCAGCAGTGTCCTCCCCAGGTTTGTTACTCATGTTTGAAAAGGGAATTTAAGGCATGGCTTATCCCAACAGGCCACAAATCTGGGCAGCTTGGGTCCTCCAGATTCAGCTATGAGATCTGGAGTGACAGTCAACATTTTTCCTCAAATCCTAATAGCTGAGAGTTGTTGCAGACCTTCAAGCCTATGATGTTAGACCTCTCTGAATTTCTTGAGTTCACTCATAGTTGTGTGGACTAGTTTGGGATGAGGAGAATGATCTGAAAAGTAAGGAGGGTCATATTAGTATTTACCAACATCATCCCGTGTCATTAAAGCTCTAGATATCTACATTGTTCAGAGAAAGAAAAGAGAAGTTGCATGTGATTTTTAATAAAAAACATGCAGAAAACCTTATTAAATCACTGCTACTTATTTGAAAGAAAATCAGCAAAAAGAGGTTTCATAAACTATAATGTACACGTGGCAAATGCAATGTTTTAAGAGATTTACACTTTCAAAGCAGGCTTTTACACTGTGGTTCATAAGACTCATCAGTTACTGTTCTGCCACACAAAATTCCTGTACTTACGAGACTGAACACTGAAAAATGAAACAGGCAAAAAGAAAAGAAGAAAACAATGAAAAAAAAGCTTTGCTTTAAGTAGGTGAGCACTTTTTTTTTGCTTTGTTCCTACACTTAACAATTGTAACACAGTATAAACCAGCTAAAAGTCAAACTTACCCTATCACATAACAGGCTTTTCATTTCTCCATTTGAGTCACAGCCAGGTGATGGGTCCAGTCAAAAAATGCCACATCTCAAACTGCTGATAGTCCAATCAGAATTACTTGACAGTTTTTTAGTCCACAAGTCCATTACAGCTTTCTGAAAGGGAAGAGACAGTATTTCAAGCGACTTTATTTTTCTCTCCTCTGCTTCCATTTCTACAATGTATTTTGATATGTTTTGAGGGACAGTTGGAGGTTTTTTTGTGGTTTTGGGCTAGGTTTGGTTTTGTCTGGTTGGTTAGTTTTATTTGATGTTTTCATTGTTGTAGTTGTTGGGGGGATTAACTACAATTTAAATTAATTAATCTTCACCTTTCTTTTTCCCAGTATCTTTTACCTGGGTGCAAATTCTATTTCAACTTCTTGGAAATCTCTAAAAGATAATTTAACTGGTATTTAGAGCACCTAGAAAACAGTGGCTACAAAAATACAAATCAGAAGCATCTGTGACTTCCAAGAAAATATTTAAAACAAAGTTTGAAATTGTATTAGCTTGTTTGTAGATCAGATCCAGTTAGTTCAATACAGTCCATGCTCTGTGCACAATTTTATTCCCATTAAAAATTTAAAAGGCAGCTTTTTAATGTCTTTGCATTAACTTAAATTGTAGTCAGTCTGTAAAACAATCAGAGAGATGGTATTAAAAATATATAAATAATAAAACAAGATGCTTTAAAAAAACTTAGTGACAACATGAGTCCACTTTGTATTTCATAGAGCTTGCCTGCTGAGAATTACTGTACTTCAGTCAAATTTCAAACTGGAGCCCTGGGTGGAAAATTCAAACTTTTCACTGAAAAAACAAGATTTGATTATCCTATTTAGCTACTTTTCAAAAATGCCACTTTGGTCCTTGAATTAACTCTTGAAATCTGTTAGCATCATTTACTTCTAAGGACTGAGACCAAAGTATGAAACAGTCACCCACAGAGAATCAAACAATAGCATCTAAGCTGGACAGAGTTTTTTTTTTCTCTGATAGAAATTATGACAGAAGAAAGAGAACCTGTCATTGCTAACCTCCTTCAGTTTCACCAGAAAGAATGTTTCCAGAAGCAAGGCTTGACTACCTCACTAGTCCAGGATCTGAATAACAAGGTGCAGGAAGGCACATCCTTAGCAGGTTTATCTTCAGGCATGGCCACAGGTCTGCATTTACTCTGATTCCAGGGTGTAAGTGAAAAATTTTAAAGATAGCTTCAGAGTCAATAGTACCACTTAAAACCATCTCCTGTATCCCTTAGCTTACCAGCTTCCTTAGTTTTAGTGCTCTGTTTTAATCCTATGATAGACTTGAATAGAATACAGTGGTTTTTTCCATATTCCTGGTGCTTGTACTACTTATTTTGTGATATCTAACCTTGCTAATACCACATATGTCCACACGACTTCAAGAATACAGATAGACCTGTACAGATGCACTGACATAACTTCATAGTAATTTGTCTCTGTTTAGAGACAAATTTTAGGAGAAAACGCTCTGGAAAGAGTGTTTTTCTCTAAAGAAAAGGGCTCTAATAATCCCTTTTTGCCAATGAGAGAAATTAATATCTGTGGGTGAAAATGAAAAAAGATGAAACTATTTATTAAGAAAGCAAGATACCTGCAAGGCACTGGAAGAAGAATTGAACCTTACACCCCCCCACCTTGCCTTGTGGCTGGGGGGCAAAGATGGTGGCTGGGGAAGGGGGAGAAAAAAGAGTTCACACAGCAGCTAGGAACTTGTTGGATTTTTGGCGTTGGTCTCCTCCTCACAGCAGGCAAAACTGGTGGATTTTAGTGTCCTTTCTAGTGTTGGTTCAGCTTCCCAAAGGTCTTGGGTTTAGGGTAGCCCCTGTCAGCTCCCTAGACAGATTGAGAAACAAAAAGCAAACAAACAAACAGTCAAACAAACAAATAAAACCAAGCTGAAAACAGTTCATTGAAAAAAAAATTAAAAAAGCCCCTGAGAGGATTCCTAGTACTGCCTCAAGCTACGAGAAAGGAAAAAAACAAACTTCTTGCTTCAAGCTATAGCATAAACTAATGCAACAAAAGGAACAATGTAGGGTCCCAGTCTGCCCACAGCCTGAGCACACTGGAGAGAGAGAAGGCTTAAACAGATCCTGCCTGGGGTTCCCAGGCTCCGGCCCTGCCACCTGGTTCATCTTAAAGCACAGCAGCCATTTCAGCATGATTAGGGAATAGAATATCATCTTAAAATCAGCTCAAGACATCATTCTAAAGAAAAAAAAATCTGCATTACTGACGGAATTTTTATTTGTATAGCTGAAGCTGCCAGCTGACTTTGAAAATATTAATTTAAAGCATGTATCAGCCCATGCTCACTATCTTTGCATCTACAAATATCTCTGGTTTGTTCAGATTTTTAGAAACCCATTTACTCTGTCTGCTGCTGCCAGCAATATAGGCTTATCAAACACAAGCACAGGACAGTCATGCTCAAATATCTCTGAAGCTTATTAGAAACATTGAAGCAAAAATTTACCTTTGGCAATTACAGGAGATAAAGCCAAAATATCGATACTATCCTTTCTAATTGACTGGATCCACAGAGATCTAAGTTGTTTCTTAAGTTACAGATACCTGCTTCTCCAGCTATACATTCAAGTATACATTAAATAAGTTTTGGGACAAATGGTATTTAAGGAATTCTTACAACTAACATTTTCTTTAAGGGCTTCACTGAAATTACTTATCATGTTTGTAGTAACACATTGTCTCAGGCTTGTGAAAATTTAATACACATAGATACTGCCTGTAATAAACATAGATTTATATCCTGTGTCTCTTGTAATAGCTTTAAAAAGCAATAGGAACTAAGCACATAGTTTTAAAACTATTGGACAGTCTCCAGCTGACCCAAGGAGGCTCCTATTTTAGACCAAAAATACTATTCAATACTCAGACTAGAAGCCAGTAGTAAATTGTCTTCTTTTTTCTTGTCTTGTCTTCTTTTACACCTGATATCAGGTTTACTACAGAAGCATGAATTGAAGGTATGTACAATGCTCTGGCAAGAGCCAAATATGAGTTGAAGGTAAGTACATTGCTCTGGATTAAGAGAGAGGCCCTTTATCTTCAGAGAACTTCCTGTGGTAGTCTTATCTTCTGATCCAGCACAATCTGTAGAATTTGCACAGTCCATAGACTAAAGACTAGACATAGTAAGGGAGAGCAGAAAACATTCTAAAAAAAATCCCACTTGATATTATTCTACATTGCCACAACCCTTTGCACTGGACCAGGCAGGAGCACAGGACATACTCTGGGTTCTCATGGGTGACACCACCGCCTCTGCCAGTCCCGCTCTGCTGCCTTGCTGCTGGCTCACCTTGCTGGGTAGAACACTCAGACCTCACTGCTCTGATGGCTACTGCAACACAGGGCTCTGCTGGACAAGGCTGAGGGCACAGCCAGGTAAAACACAGAGCCTAGAGGAAGTACAAGCTCCAGGATTCAGTCTTATGGCAAAGAAAAGATGCCACAATTTTGTTTATCAGAGGCAACAGTTGCCTCTTCAATAACTTTCACTTCTTGATGTTGGCTGCAAGGAGTAATATATAAATTTCTTTAGAGTTAGCTTCTGGGCTGTGTACCTAGCATACAGGGACTTTGGGAAGTGAGTGCTGAGCAGTTGTGTTAGCATCACAAGAATTCTGGTGTCTACATTTAATATCCACATTTAATAACAGTATTGCAGAAGATATTTATGCCTTATTTCACACTTGTTTATTTCCAGAGACCAGCAATGAAAGAGGTGCCAAACTCTCTTCAGATCAGAGGGTAACAAGCTAGAAAGGAGAGGCAGGGTCCTAGAAAATCCTGTTCATAAAAATAAAATGTTGAACATCAGTGTGTATGGTTTATAAAGAGTGACAGATCAAAAGATATACAGTAATCTCTGGTGATCTCCTTCTCCACCTCCCCATTGAATGCTATTAATTGCACAGCCAGCTATCACAAGGCACTCTAAGAAAGGTTTGACAAATAAAATGACAGGTGCTTTGCCAGGTACCTGCTATCTCAGGAATTGCTAAACACTTAGTTGTACACCACATTTAATTGCGTAAACCATTTTAGCTTTAGGGAAAGAGAAGAAAATGGTGCTCTGCAATCCTTATAATACTGGATTTAAATCAGAAACCAAGTCAGAAACAAAGGGTCTTGAAAGGGAGTTTAAAAAAATGAATAAATTGTAAATTCAGCAATGAAGGTTGAATCTCCCAGGCAGGAAACATAAACTTTCTATTGATTTCAACTGCAGAGTTTTCCTCCAGGGCACCACTGTCTTCTGCTTGCCCTTGAGGTTCATCTGGCTTTCTTCAGTCTGTGTGTTCTCAGATCCCTGCCTTCCCTCACTCTGAAGGGAGCGTATTGGTCTGCTCAACAGGCCACCCCTTCAGTGCATTTTTTTAGACCAGCTTGATTTACAGGCTGATGCCAATAGGTAATAGCAACATGGGAGCCAGTCCTAGGCACTTTAATGGGCCAGAAGAGGAACTCACATCGCTTCTGGATCCACAGACAATGTCTTTTCAGAGATACAGAAATATCTGGGCATCAGTACAATCACTCTCCAGAAAAACAAGTAGAAATTCCACTTTACATCTTTAAACAAAACAGAAACAAGAATGACATCACAGAAACAGAACATTTTAAAGTTGGATTTAAGTGCTGTGTGTATGTGTGTATTTTTAAATCCATATTTTTACCATTCCTGATAGCCAAGGAAATTTGAAAAGTATAAGATGTTGTTGAAGGACACTTTTCCTCTGAGTCATTGTTTTCTCCCACACTGAATGTCAAACACTTATAGGTTGTGATGCAGTAGGCCCAGGCTTTGTTACTGGGCTAGCTAAACAAATTCCCGCCCCTTACTCTGTTCTCCTTCAGATCACTTCTTCCTTGCTGTTGCTGAGACACAGAGGCATTTTACATCAAGGGTCTTTCATAGCTGAGGTGAGTTTTGGTAGGCTTGCAGAAAGGAAGTCACAAACTCTTGGGAATTAATCCAGCACTATTGCCATTTAAATGGGAGAACTTCAGGACACAATGTAGTCACAAGATATCTTCCAAGAGTCATATTCTTCATTTATGCAGGGAAAAGAGAGAAATAAGGCATTCATATAAAAATTTATACTGGAAAAATGCCAAGAAAAAGCCAACTGAAAACCTGGCTGATCTTTTCCTGGACTACATTACACGTTGCTATTTATACGAGGATTTGAGATTTTATCTGCATCTTACATCTGTAAGAATTTCCAGGACAGTTTTTAGACGCAGTTTTTGGGGTGGCAAAAAAAAAATTATAATTAAAACAAGCTATATTTATACCTAAAGATGAAGAAGAGTACAGCTTTTGGATTTGGGCATAAAAGACTTAGAAAATGGCAGGGGAAAAATATTGACAGGTATGTGATAGCAATGCAATTGCAGTTATATAACAAGCATGCAAACTCAAGAAAGAAAAGTTTGAGTTTTCTTCAGAATAAATAGATGAGTATAGTTGAAACTGTCTTTCTAAGCACAAAACACACTTATACGAAATGTATAAGGCATTATCTCACTGAAAAAGAGAACCTTTGATGTTTCTAGATATCAGGTTTCATTTAGAGTTATTAAAAAATGTTTAGTCTGATCTTTACTCAGCATCTATTCACTAATTTTTACTAATTCTAACACATTCCAAGTGTTTTTGATTGGTGTTCTATATATCACAGTGCATTAGGTGCCAAGCTTTAGGTGCTACAGGAGTGGCTTCTGTGAGAAGCTGCTGGAAGCTTCCTCCACCCCCTGTAGAACCAATCCCAGCTGGCTCCCAGACAGAGGAGCTGCTGGCCAAGGCTGGGCCTATCAGAAATGGTGCTTACACTCCTGTGATAGCAGATTTAAGAAGGGGGAAGAAAACGTGATTGTGCAGATGTAATTGTGGCCAGAGAAAGTTGGGTGAGAACATGTGAGAGGAACAGCTCTGCAGGCACCGAGGTCAGAGCAGAAGGAGGAGGAGGAGCTGCTCCAGGCACCAGAGCTGAGACTCCCCTGCAGCCCCTGGTGCAGCAGCCCATGGTGAGGCAGCTGTGCCCCTGCAGAAATGGGGATCCACAGGGGATGCAGAGATCACCTGCAGCCCATGGAAAAGCAGG